TTACCTCGGCACCTGATGGATCACACCAGCCTCGTGTCTTTCAACGCCTTCGCCAGCAATGCTGACGACTCACCTTCCCAGGCGGGAGTTTCAACCCACATGCTTCCTTTTTGCTGTCTCTTCTCACTGAAGTGTGGTGTCTGTGCTTTTGTGTTGTCAAAAGTGATCATTCCTTTTTTGTCAAAATGTTAACTCTAGAAGTGGAATATTAGCAAATACCATGAGTAGGTAAATGTTTCACCGAAGAGACAAGCTGTACATTACTTTAGCTTTGTCTGGAGTTTCTGACTGGCTTTCCTCCATTGTACCGTTTCCCTTTATCACAATACCACTTACACTCTTTTTATTTTTTCTTTTCTTTTTTTTTTTTTTTTTTTGAGTCAGAGTCTCACTCTGTCACCCAGACTGGAGTGCAGTGGCCGCTCCCGGCCACCACAGCCTCGACCTGATGGGCTCCGGCGATCCTTCTGCCTCAGCCTTCCGAGTAGCTGGAATTACAGGCATGCACTACCACGCCCGGCTGATTTTTTGATTTATTGTAGAGATGAGGTCTCGCCAAGTTGCCCAGGCAGGTCTCGAACCCGCAGGCTCAGGCAATCCACTCACCTCGGTCTCCCAAAGCGTGGGGTTACAGGCTGAGTCACGGAACCCGGCCCCTTTTACACTCTTTATAATGCTAGATCCTTCGCTTCCCTTCCCCTCCCCAGGGTCTTCCTGATCCTGCCCCAATTTAGGCAGGTGGGTCTCTCAGCACAGCTGTTTATCTTGGGACATCTCTAGATTACTTTTCTGGATTGAATTTATTATTTCGAGCATCCTATTTCTTTCTCTTGTTTGATTTACTCCCTTGTCTTGGGTCATATGCTCAAATGTCTTTCTAAAAACAGTATATGGGAAGCAAATTTTTCTGGGTCCCTGTTTGCCTAAAGATGGCTTTAATTTAACCTTACATGTGACAGTTGTGATGAGTTAGAATTTTACACTGAAAATCATTTCCAGGTGAACCACTCCATTTTCCTTTACTTTTCTTTTTTTAGAGATGAGGTCTTGCCAAGTTGCCCAGGCTGGTCTTAAACCCCTGGGCTCAAGCAATGCTCTTGCTTTAGCCTCCCAAATTGCTGGGATTACCGGCATGAGCCCCTGCACCCAGCCTCCATTTTCCTCTGGCTTCCAGTGGAGGTTGCGAAAAAGATTGCTGCCTTTCTATTTTATCTTTCTTTGTAGGTGGCTTTTTAAAAGATGCTTTCAGGATCTTGTCTTTGTTCGCAGATATCTGACATGTCCCCAGGATGCATCTGGATGGGAACATCTCTTCTGTCTTCTTGCTGCCGATCTTGGGGCTGAGGTGGGAGAGTGTCAACCATGCGCTGGTGTCCTTCCCTCTGGGAAACACTCCTGTATTCTTTTCTCTTTTTTTCTGAGTTGGAGTCTCACTCAGTCGCCCAGACTGGAGTGCAGTGGCCGCTCCCGGCCACCGCAGCCTCGACCTGCTGGGCTCCGGCGATCCTTCCGCCTCAGTCTTCCAAGTAGCTGGAACTACTGGCGCACGCTACCATGCCCGGCTAATTTTTTGATTTATTGTAGAGATGAGGTCTCACCAAGTTGCCCAGGCAGGTCTCGAACCCGCAGGCTCAGGCAATTCACTCACCTCAGCCTCCCAAAGCACGGGATTCCAGGCTGAGCCACTGAGCCCGGCTTCCTGTATTCTTTCCTAAGATTCCTCTCCTCTGTTGCCTTTGTTCTTTCCGGAATCCAGTACAGGTTGAGCATCCCAAATCCAAAACTCCAAAACGCTCCAAAATCCAAAACTTTCCAAGCGCTGACATTATGCTCAAAGGAAGGGCTCGTTGGAACATTCTGAGTATTAGATTTTTCAGATTAGGGATGCTCAACAAGTGAGCGCAATGCATCTATTCCACAATCCCAGAAATCTGCAATCCAGAATGCTTCCAATCCCAAGCGTTTTGAATAAGGGATTTTCAACCCGGACTTGAATGTCTGATATATTTGGCCACCTGCATAGACCCTCCACAGTGCTGCTCTCCCATGTCCTATTGCTATTCTTTTGCAGCTATTTGCTGAGAGGCTTCCTCAATCTTACCTTCTTCCAACCCTTCATTTAAGGTACTTTCAACTCCAGGAATTACCTTTTAGTTTTCAAAAGTTCTTTAATCCCCAAGTGCTCCTTCTCCATCCCATTTATAATCTTTTTTTTTTTTTTGAGTTGGAGTTTCACTCTGTCACCCAGACTGGAGTGCAGTGGCACGCTCCTGGCCACACAGCCTCGACCTGCTGGGCTCCAGCGATCCTTCCGCCTCAGCCTCCGGCGATCCTTCCACCACGCCCGGCTAATTTTTTATTTATTGTAGAGATGAGGTCTCACCAAGTTGTGCCCAGGTAGGTCTCGAACCCGCAGGCTCAGGCAATCTACTCACTTTGGCCTCACAAAGCGCAGAATTACAGGCTGAGTCACTGAGCCCGACCCCCATGTCTAATCTTATAAAGGTTGTGCTTTCTCAGGTACCTGTGAACCTTGGTTCCTGTGTTTTAAAGTTCTCTTCTGATCCTTACATAACCTGCTTCATCCAGAGCAATTTTCCTACTTATTCAAATTGATCTTCTCTTTAAAGGGGAAGGTCCTTCCCAAAGGCCTGAGGAGCCTGGTTCCTATTTAAAGTGGGGCTAAGACACTGAGGGGGAGTGTGGGAGTTTGGCTTGTCTGCTGACGGGCGTAGCTTTGCAGTGATGGGGGCGAGCTGGTCTCAGGTAGGCGATCCAAATGCCAGAAATGAGAGACTTTCAGAAGGAGCCCTTGGATGCCAGCCTGGCATCAGGTGTATTCTCAGTCTCAGCACGTCCGGTGTCTGGGGCGCCCAGCTGGGTAGCATGAGTCCCCTGCACACACCTGACCTGCATGGCTGGGGACACCCTCCAGCCCTATCAGCAAGGGAAAGCTGGGAGGGGACAACAGAAAGCATGTGAGCTGTCCTTTTGGAAGCAAATAGATTCTTCCTGTGGATGGCAGAGAAGAAATAACCTCTGGCCTCTGAAGGAGTGGTGCCAAGTGGAAGCATTGCCCCGAGGACCTCTTCCTGTCCATGCTGTTTTGGAGGAAGACTTGTTCGTGGGGAAAAGCCCCTCAGTGTCAGCACCAGGAAGGTGATAGGACTGAATGTCAGCATAGAGGTACTCGCCCTCCAGCCCCACCCTGAGGAGGAAGGTGCACTGGGCAGGGCTGTGCCAGGACAGTGAGGCAGGCGTCCCAGATGCACACCCCCCAGGGCTTGCAGGCTCATGGCTCTCCTGAGAGCTAACAGCCTCGGCCTACTGAGGGGGCTCTTAGGCCCAAATGCCAGGTCCAGTCCCAGCTCTGTCCCTTGCCCTCTGGATGCCCCTGTCCCTCTTTTTCTTCCTCTGGAGCCTGAGCACAGCAGCACCTGCTCACCTAGAGGAGTGTGGGAAGGTGCAGGCAAAGCCCTGAGATAGGCACCTGCTATGCAGCGAGCCACTTACTGTGCACGGCCCTGCCCATGCCCCATGCATGAAGGAGACCCTGGACACACTGAGGTTGACCATGTGATAGATGGCTCAGGCGCATGGCTTTGCTGGGCCCCAAGTGCTCACCGGTATGTTCAACCCAGGCCTGGGGACATCCCGGTGAGCAGAGCAGACACCCTACTGACCCCATCCTTGCATGGAGGCAGGTGGCCCTGATACCCCAACATCTGCCAATGCACTGCTCGAGGCCTTGGGAGATGAGGCCAGAGGCGGGGCACCGGGCTGGGAGGTGTTTTGGATCTGGTGGCAGCCAGCCATGCCAACCATGTGGCCAGACACATCTTCACAGCCTGAGGGTCAGTGAGTTTCCTGAATGAGATTCAGGAAATAGGCGAAAATGAGCCCCAAGGAAAACAGTCTTTACTACAGAAACATTTATAACAGCAACACATGGAAACCATCCTCTAAAGCTGGGGAAAGACCGAGTTCAAGAATTATTGCTCAGCTGAATAGAATACTTTAAGTCACTAAAAGTGAGAACTACGAGAACTATGAAGAAAAGTGGGAGGGTTCTGTGTATGGCTGCCTTGGTGACTGTGAACTGAAGGCTGCTCCTCTTGGGAGACCCCAAGGATAGCGGGCTCTGGAGAGCAGAGGCTGGAGTCATTCACTGTTAGCGTGCCTTTTGTCTATTCAAATCCCTTCCCATCGAGCTGCGTGCCTGTCCGAAATGGCAAACAGTCATCCCGAGAGCTGCTTTCCGCCTATTGTGAGCTGAGTGTGTCCTCCCGAAATCCGCAGGTTGACATGCTAACTCCAGAGTGATGGTGTGAGGAGGTGGGGCCTTGAGGAGGTGATCGGGTCATGAAGGTGGAGCCCTCAGAAATGTAATTAGTCTCTTATAAAAAGGGCCTTCAAAGAGCTGCCTCACCCTCCCACCGCATGAGCACACAGCCAGAAAGCACTGTCTATGGACTAGGCAGTGGCTCCGGCCAGACACGGAATCAGCCAGCACTGTGATTTGGACTCCAGCCCCCAGAACCAGGAACAATCATTTCTGTGGCAGAAATTCCCAGTCTGTGGCACTTTGTCACAGCAGCCTAGACAGACTGAAACGCCCCCGTTCTGTGCCTGTCACACACACATAGCCAGTGGGCCACACACTCCTCCCTGCTGAGGCAAGTGCGACCTCAGAATCCTTCTCATCCCACGCTCCACGGGGCCCCTGCTGATTGTTGTCCGTGAGGACACGGCTGGCAGGTGAAAGCTGTCCGTGTGCTTGGAGGGGGGTCTGCCTCCAAGGCACCTGGCGACACCTGCACAAAACTTGCAGGCAGGAGCCTGTGAATCTGGTGAGGTGAGCCTTGCTGTAAGTTTCACATCAGGCCCTTCGCGGTCAACACGTCTGTGTTCCCTGCACAGTAAGCTCTAGTTAGAGTCTGTGCTCACAAGTCCTGCCCATTTCTGGAGTATCAGTTTGCAGTGTTACAGAGGTTACTTACGGGCCAAATATCCTCAGGTACCTAATGCCCATCTCGATGGCCTTGTACGAGCAGTCCATGGTGATCCCGTGGTCACGGGCAGCGTAGGCAAAGTGGGTCAGCCGCGTCAGGGTTTGCAGCTCCACCAGGGGGTCCGACCAGTTGCACTCGGAAGCCATGTTCACCAGCTTCCCGGGCGGGTGCAGGAGGAAGGTTATTGTGTGAGTGAGGGTGACCTGCAGCCCTCCCAGCGCCTGTGCAGTGGGCCTGGCACGCTCGTTCACCTTTGCGAAACCTCATGAGTGGCTTAATGTTCATCGGGGTGTGGCATGGGGCGGGTGCTACTCCACACAGAGGCATGGCAAACCACCACAAAGGCTGGGCTACCTCCTCAAAGCTGGCGGCCCCCAGCGTCCATGCAGCTTTCACTCCAGGCGGGGCTGTCCCAGACACGGGGCGAGTTGTGTGCAGCCCCTGTGGGCGCCCCTGACCTGCCCCGAGTCTCAGGGTAGGACAGGATGTGGAGAATCTGCTCAGAAGACTTTTTCCATCCACACCAGGGCAGAAGGAAGCTCCAAGCATAAGCTGAAGGTGTGCTAGGAGGAGCAACTCATGTGCTGCTGGCGGGCAGGGAGAGCCGTGGGGAGCACATGCATGGGGATAAATTCTGGCCACTCCAGGCAAGACCCTCTGAGTCTTGGCCTTCTCGTCTCTCTAGGGTTGGGGGGTCTGCCTCTTCACCCAGCTCCCAGCATGCCTCCCAGGAACCCTAGTGACACCTACCTGGGCCAGGGAGGGAACGGTGAAGTCCATGAGCCCCAGCCCATTGCACGAGTACATTTCCAGAGCAACAAGGACCCTGGTCACCGAGCTGATGTCCTCGTTGGTGTCCTGGTGGGAAGGAAGCACGGAACATGTCAGCCGAGGGGGCCCACAAGGGGAGGGCTGTGAGAGAGTCCGGAATGTTCGTGCATTTAACTTGGTGAAATATTAGCTTTATGAAAACAACCAGACCACAACATTTAGAGCGTGCATTCCTTAGGTTACTTTTGTGGAGGTTCACCCCCAAGTTATCTCCCCATAGGACAAAAGGGGCACGAGGATGCAGCCCCCGGCTGCCTGGCGAGCATTGTCTAACAGCTGGAGGATCCCAGGAAGGAAGGCAGGCAGGTCAATGCCCAGAGCCCGCTCTGCCTCTGCGGTCCCCTCCCCGGCCCCTCACTCTTGGCCAGGCTCAAACAGCTCTCCTCCAGCAGGCCTTCCGGGCCCCAGGCTGGATGGGTAGACCCCTCCCTGACTCTACAGCCATGCCACCCTCGTGGAGGGGCTTGTCTGTGGGAGTGTCCCCATGAGCTCCTCGGCTGTGTCTGCAGGGGCCAAGGCGCTCACGGGCTGGGCCTGAGTCCTGCCCTCTGCTGGTCCCTCGCCTTCCCTCAGCCTCCCACACCCACAGCCCTTTGTGTCCACGGGGCGTGGGAGGGTCCTGGCACCCTGTTGAGGAGGTGATTCTCTGGCCTCACAATAAGCCTCAACAAGCACCCTGAGAGGATGTGGCTTTCCCAGAGGTTCGGCAGCTTCTGTCCAGGCCGGCAAGGAGGTCTTGTGCCCTGTCTCCAGGGCAGCCAGGGGCGGCAAGTTCCACGGGAAAAGAAATCCCACCAGACGAGACCTTCCCCGATGGTGCCATTAGAGCTGCACTGGATAACTGAAGCTGTGTGGTCCCCGAGGACCCCGCCCTGCAAGCCACACCTGCCTCCGACGCGGCCACTGTGTCACAGTCAGGCCACCCACCTGCTCATCTGTGCCCAGCTGCGGCCCGATCTGCTGCTGCATCAGCTGCTTGGCCTTCACCCAGGTGGCAATGAGCTGCTGCCGCCCTTGGGTGGGGACCACCTCCTCGGGCATATTCCCGTTGGTCAGGTTCAGGGCAAACTCGCAGACCTAGGACAGACATGGGCCGCGGCATGATGTCTGAATTCTAGACAGGGGGGCCTCGAGCCAAGACCCAGACCACTAAAGAACAAGCGGACCTCGCTCCTGGGCTAGACATAAAGGTGCCTAAACACACACCAGTCCTGCAGCCTGCTGGGAACTAAAACACAAGCCCAGCAGATGCCTCTCAGGGACCCCTCCCCCTGGGTGCCAGGGACACGCCACACACCCAAGGGTGCCATTGTCCAGCCCCATGGTGCGCCCCAGCTTTCTCACTCCCTGGGTCATCACCGCACCAGGTGTTATCCAGGGTGTGGGCCAGAAACCAGAAGCTACCAAAGCCTCGGTGAGGCAGCCCAGTCTCTCAGAACCCCCTTCCCACTGTGGTTGGTGTTGGCCGGGGGTGGGATGGTAAGGACTGGGGCCCCAAATGCACAGGTTTGGAGCTGCCGGTGCTTTGCTGCAGGAATGGGCTGTGAGCCGGTCCCCGAAGACCTGGGCTGCATCCCAGCTTCTCTCTTGCTCGCTCTGGGACCAGGACACGTCTCTTGATTCTGTGCCACAGTTCCTCCTCTTTAGCGGGGGATGAAAACCCAACATACGGGTTACCTTTAATGAACCCATGGACGTTCACTCTCGCGCTGCTTTCCTCCCCCGCTAAAACACAGCCCGAACGCTCGCTCCTGGTGGTACAGACATCCACAGCGTGCCACCCTCCCTTCCCTCTCCCTCCACCTGCCCTTCCAGATAAGCCCTCAGCAATCTTGCCAGATGTTGCAAAGCCATCTTGTCGGAATGTCTCCGGGCGACGCTGACGCGGTAGCCGAGTCCGGGGTGATTCCCTGTCTCCGTCACCCGGCTCCCAGACAGGGCTATGCCCATGTCCCACCACGGTTACTCCAAAGTGCTGCCACTTGTGATGGGGACTGTCTTCCGTCATAGTTCCCACGGGACACTGTGCCCGGCTGCGCCTTCTTGTCACCACGACGGCTGCCTGTGGCTCGGGCCACCTGACTCCTGCCACCGACCTGCCCTGCCCACCAGCCCTGTCTCTGTTTTGCCAGCTCCTCTTCCAGTCCAGGGTCCTGCTCCCTGCAGCCCCTTGAGCTGGCCCTTTGTCCCGTTTCGGAACAGAGACCTCAGCTTGATGCCACAGCCAGCCCCGCCCATGGCCACTGGCCTCCCTGTGGCCCCTCACCACCAGCCACGCCCACCCTCCCTCCTTTCCAGCCCACGGCAGAGCCCTGGTGGCCAACTGTTCTCAGGTCCTCGTGGCCCCAGGGCACGAGGACCTTCTTCCCGGCCCTAGCCTGCCGCAGTGGACTGAGCGCCTGCGGGTGCTGTGTGTAGGCTCTGGGACGCTCGGGCCCACGGTTCCACCAGGGCCCAGAACCCCGCAGGGCGAGTGGCAGCATATGCCCCTTTCCGCGGGGCATCGGACCCACTGGGACAATGCAAGGCCTCCCAATTCCAGATGGCACCACATTCAGGGGTCTCGGGGTTGTGGCTCGATGCCCTTAATCTCATTAAGAAACCTGCTTTTGCTGGGCACGGTGGCCCACACCGACAATTCCAGCACTTTGGGAGACCCAGGTGAGAGAATTGCCTGAGCCCACGGATTTGAAACTACACTGGGCAACTTTGCGAGACTTCATCTCTATAATAAATCCAAAAATTACACGGGTGTGGTGCCTGTAGTTCCAGCTTCTGGGAAGGCTGAGGCAGAAGGATCGCCCGAGCCCAGCAGGTTGAGGCTGCGATGGCCGTGAGCATGCATGCCACTGCACTCCAGCCTGGGCAACAGAGTGAGACTCTAACTCAAAAAAAAAAAAAAATACCTGCTTTCTTACAGGTTTTTAAAGCCTATTTTAAGTTAGAAATGGGTGATGTGACATCAAACACTTTTGCTACATCCGTCAGTGAGGACATTATTTTTTCTCCTTCATTTTGGAAGACTACAACTCAAGGAAATGAGTTCCATGGAATAAGGGACCCTCCCATGCTGTCACTGTCTCCCTGTGCACTCAGCTGGCTAGCGTTTCACGTGCACGTGACGGGTGTGGTGCTTCCCACCACTTCAGTGCTGCCCTTTCAGCTGACTCCATATTTCTCTCTGCACTGGAACAACCAGCCTGAGGAGAGGCCTGAGCCCCGAAGGGAGACCCCCGGGCTTTCCCAGGTCTGCATGTCTTCTTTCCCCCTCTTCCCTCTCCTTGCTTTCCTGCAGCTGGAAGCAGGAACCCCTGGTGTTTTACTTCCTAAACTGCCCTCATGTCTCTCACACCCAGTAAATGAGGGTCCGAATGGCCTAGCGTGGTGCCCCAGGTCTGCCAGGCTCCCTCCCCGGTCGCCCCCTGTCACTCCCCCATCACGAAGGCTGTACCTCCACCGCTGTTTTGATCTCAGAGGCTGCCCCGGAATCCAATGGGGAGTGAAACATATTTGGTCTCACAAATCTTCTCGACTTTTCAGTTGCCTGGGCTTGAATCCAGTTGATGATCAAGCCTCGAGCCAAGGTATTGCAGAGTGTTACCAATATCACGGGGTCCCTGGAAAACAAGCACATTAGAGGGTGAGACCACAGCCCCCCACAGGCCACCACAGGCCACAATAGACCCCAGCAGGGTCTGTGCACTCAGTCAGCTGGGAAGGCCTGGAGATGGCCAAGGGTGTTCACAGGACTTTCCTCTGCTAGAATTGAGCCAGAGTGTAGCTGCCTGCTTCTCTCAGCTACAGTGCAACAGGCCTTCTGAGGGAAGGAGTCAGCTGTGGGAAGCACAGTTAGAGTCACCCTGCTCAGCTGATGGCACTGTCTCCTCCCACGGGGAGGCTTCACATGGAGAAGAAGGCCTCCGGTGCTGGACCCCTGAGAGCATCCTGTGAGGAACTGGCCAAGGGCAGAAAGGCTACGTTGCCTCCTGTTCTGCTGCTGGGACATCCAAGAAGCCGTCAGCCATGGTCCAAGCCTTCCGCTGGTTGCCAGATGGAGTGGGTTTAGATAGAATGGTCACATTTCTCACTGGAGACACTTTGCTACTAAATATTTTAAATAGTCAAAAACAACCTCTGTAGACAAAGGAGTGGGGGTGTGAGGTCTGATTTTTGTCTACAACAGAAGCTCGCAGAGGGTTGGCCATGCTGTAAGAGACTCGGCTTCCCGGGCCCCGGGGTGTTGACATCCAGGGTGTATCCCTGGCTTCTTCCAACAGCTGAAGAACTGCTAGGGCCTTACTCCTGGGGGAGAGGTGAGCACCACTGAGCAAATACTTGTTCATGGTACGTTTTCTTTATTAGCCATAGGTTTAAAAATCATAATATGCATACGCTGCTGCATTTTGACTCATTCTAGCATTCCTACTTCAGTATCTGGCAAAAAAGAAATTAAATTAAATTAAAACACTAGTGCTCAAACTAAAAACCAACCCAACAAAGAGTACATAGAGAGTCTTAAAGCTTCATCTTAGACAAAACTTTGACCCAACTTAATGTTTCTAAATTTCTAATTTTAGCTGGAAAAAATGTTAGTCTCTCACAAGTTCACATCCATCTGGATTAAAAAAAAAATAGACATAGGCTTTCAACCTCCTTCCTAAAAAGACAGAATGAGACTTGTCCCCGAGTCCCTCTTTCCTGCTCCAGGGTGAGTCAGATTACAGGCAAGCCTTTCCCCCAGTGCTTTCGTTTGAGCAGAGTGAGGCAGGCTGGGAGCTCTACACAGGTCTTGGCCTCGTCAGCGCCTGGCACAGGCCCAAGGCCCGTCAACTGCCACAAACCGCCTGTGGCTCAGAGGGGGTGAGTGTCTGGCTCAAGGGTGCACGAGTCAACAGGACCTTGGGGATGGCGGACACAGCCCTTCCCGAGCCCCTGCTGGTTCCTCGGTGGCTCCAGCCGCCCTCAGAGTGAACATATGCCGGACCCTACAGCCCCGACCCCGATTCTGTGGGCCTCTTGGAGCCCCAGGCCCCTCCCCACATGGATACGGTGTGCCTCACACCCACCCGCTGTGGCCTGTGGCCTTGACAATGTCCAGGAGGCGGAGCAAGGTGTCTACCAGCTCCTTCTGCCGTCCGGCCAGGATGAGGTGGTGGTTGTGATTCAGGACATAGACCACGGCATTCTGCACAATCCAGGCTTCCTGGATCTCCTGTCCGATCTCTGCAGAGCGCAGCCAGTGGCTCATGGTGCACTGAGACAGGCTCTCTATCCAGGTTCTGCAAAACACACACCAGAAGCCTTGGAGACAAAACTTCCCCAGACAAGCCCTCTCGGGAGCAAGCGTGAGCTCTTCCAGAGTGGCCCCAGCCCGAGGCTGTGGAGCCCTGGGCTCTTGATTGGGGCTCCCCTGCCAGAGACGCAGGGACAGCCTCAATTCCGTCCTCCCGGCCGCTGTGCCGCCTGCAGCATTCTGGGTCCGCCCCTACTCTCCCCATTTCTTCTGTCTCCTCTTCTCCAATTTGTGCTCATTCTCACCCCCGATCCCCGGACACTGACAGTCGTCCCGTGGCTGATTCTCGTGGCTATGAGCTCACACATCTGTGGCAACAGGACCGTCACTCACCGGCAAGGCTCCTGGCCCTCCACGGGCCTCCCAGCCCGAGGGCATGCCAGGCTGCCTGGCCACCCCCGCAGCCGCCCCTGCCCCTCTCCATTCTGTGGCATGCACTCTCTCTCGGCCAAGGGGTACCATTCATCCCCGCTCCGCCCCCCCGTGGCACACGAGCTGCCTTCCTCAGGGAGCTGGGCACACCGAGGACAGGCCTTCACGGTCACCCAGCCCCATGCAAATGTGGCCCACATCTGTCTGGTCCTCTAGACCAGACTGAGAAAACTTTTTCTGTAAAGGGCCAGATAGCAAGTATCTTAAGCTTTGCAAGCTACGTATAGTCTCTGTTGCATACTTTTCCTATTTTGCCATACAAATTTAAAAATGACAAAGCCACGCTCAGCTCAGCTCATACAAATTTTAAAATGACAAAGCCACGCTCAGTTCGTGGGCTACCCCAAAACAGCCTGGGCCCTCATTTTCAGCCCCACCTCTATCCATAAGCAGGGCCACCAGGAGTGGAGAGCTCTGCTCTAGGCTTGGGCCAGGTCCTTGGAGAGGCATCCACTGCCCTACCTAAAACAATGCTGGACTGTCAGTGCTGGGAACCGGGGTGGCCTGGGCTGGGCCAGCTCCCTCACAAAGCCCTGAGCTACTGATGTCTGAGAGATGATCTTCAAATGCCAAGACAAACATTATCCTCCTAAAATGACTGGTGCTGCAGTGATTATTCTCTCTTCCTCTTCCCTCTGCAGGACTCCACTGGGGCGGGTGCAGTAAAAGTGTAGTAAGTATAGAAGACAGTGTCCTCTTCCCCCATGTACTGGATGAACACCGTTATGTCGTGCTTAGCTTCCGAGACACAAATAATTGGATTGTGATCATGACCACATTCAGTAACTTTATGCAGCCAGATGGGATGAATCCGATCCAGTGTTCTCTTCCACCACAGGACAACTATTGTTACAATAATGGATTTCATACTTTTTTTTTCTTAAGTTGGAGTCTCACTCTGTCGCCCAGACTGGAGTGCAGTAGCACGTTCCCGGCCACCACAGCCTCGACCTGCTGGGCTCCGGCGATCCTTCCGCTCAGCTTTCCAAGTAGCTGGAACTACAGGCGCGCGCTACCACGCCTGGCTAGTTTTTTTATTTGTTGTAGAGATGAGGTCTCGCCAAGTTGCCCACATGGGTCTCGAGCCCGTGGCTCAGGCAATCCACTCACCTCAACCTCCCAAAGCGTGGGATTACAGGCTGAGCCACCGAGCCCGGCCGGATTTCATACTTTCAAATAGCTAGAAGGAGAATATTGAATGTTCCCAACACAAATCAAGGATATGATTGAGGTTTGAGACGATGAGTGTGCCAATCACCCTGATCTGATCACAGCACATTATGTGTCCCAAACACTGCTATGTACCCCGTAGATAGGTATGATGATTATTTGTCAATTTAAAAATATTTAATTTTAGATTTAAAGATAGCCAAAAATCATCATTGTTAATACAGCACCCTGATCTCATGGCTGTTTTTGACCTTGGAATCTCACATGGGCAAATCTTTTGAGATGCTCTGTGCAAACGAATTTTTTTTATTTCCATACCAAGAATTCTTGAGATGCGCCTGGGCCTTGACAAATTCCTTGACAATTTTTTCCACATCAAGAGGTAGATCACATATTTTCCTCTCAGTAAAGACAGAAATTGTTCCTTCCCTCTATTCTGCATCACAAACACTATCTCCTTGATAACTCATTTTTATTAACAACTTAATAGCTCATTTAATTAAGAGAGAGGTTAATTGGAATGAGCAAGTCTGAATTATTAAAACACACAGGGAAAACAGTCTTGTTCCTTCACTCATACATAATAAAAAGCTATCCTCCTGTCTCGCTAGGACACATTGCTAAAAACGAATAAGACAGTCTGTAGCCTTGTTTTATATGGGATCATCTTCATTATTTTTGTGAGACTAGATACTTCCGCACAAAAGGCTGCTTTCTAGACATAGGAAAGGTGTCCCTCCCCATATTGGCCCTGAGAGACGCTCTGACCTGCAATCCATAGGGTTAGGGTTAGGGTGAGGGTGAGGGTGAGGGTGAGGGTGGGGGGTGAGGGTTAGCCTACCTGTATGTGATCCACTCTGGGTTCACCTCTGGCGGCTCAGACACATAGCCGGCCGGGTGGTGGCTCAAGTCCTCGGGGGGGACGGCCGGGTCATTCAGCTCTACACCTTCTGACCGCAGTAGGTGGACAGTGGCCTGCAAAGATGTGTGCAGAGGGAGTGTCATGGTGTAGCACAGACCCTGTGCAAGGTGGGAGCACACCCCGGGCGCCTTTCCTTTCAGCTCTGATCCCGAAAATGCCAAACACGAGGCCGAAAGACCGTCTGGTGAGTCCCACGCAGCCAGGGCCTACCTCGACACCAAACCCTCACAGCCTCTCATCACCCACCCACGTGAACACTTTTGGGAAGAGAAAGATGGCTCTTTTCTTCTTCTTCTCCTTTTTTTTTGAGTGAGAGTCTTTCACTCTCTCGCCCAGGTTGGAGTGCCGGGGCCTGCTGGGCTCGACCTGCTGGGCTCAGGTGATCCTTCTGCCTCAGTCTTCCAAGGAGCTGAAACTGCAGTCATGTGCCACCATGTCCAGCTCATATATATAGTTTTTGATTTGGAGTCTCACTTTGCTGCCCAGGCTGGAGGGCAGTGGCACACTCACAGCCACCCTAGCCTCGACCTGCTGGGCTCCAGTGATCCTTCCACCTCAGCCTTTCAAGTAGCTGGAACTACAGGCGTGTGCTACTGTGCCCAGCTAATTTTTGATTTATTGTAGAGACAAGGTCTTGCCAAGTTGCCCGGGCTGGTCTCAAACCCGTGGGCTCAGGGAATCCACTGACCTCAGCTTCCCAAAGTGCTGGGATTACAGGCTGAGCCACCGAACCCAGCCTAATTTTTTGATTTATTGTAGAGATGAGGTCTCACCAAGTTGCCCAGGCTGGTCTCAAACCCATGGGCTCAGGCAATCCTCTTGCCTCTGCCTCCCACCATGAGCCACTGAACCCAGCTGAACGGCTCTTTTCAAAACACCACACACCGCTGTCATCATAGCTCTGAAGATGAACAGTAACCTCCTAATATTATCAAACACCAGCCAGCACTCATGCCTCCCTGACTACCTAGAAAATGCCTTTTTTTTTTTTTTTTGAATTGGAGTCTCACTCTGTCGCCCAGACTGGAGTGCAGTGGCCGCTCCCGGCCACCACAGCCTCGACCTGCTGGGCTCCGGCGATTCTTCCGCCTCAGCCTTCTGAGTAGCTGGAACTACAGGCATGCGCCACCACGCCTGGCTGATTTTTTGATTTATTGTAGAGATGAGGTCTCGCTGCCCAGGCGGGTCTCGAACCCGCAGGCTCAGGCAATGCACTCACCTCAGCCTCCCAAAGGCGCGGGATGACAGGCTGAGCCACTGAACCCGGCTAGAAAATATGTTTTGAGCATTAAAGACTGCTAAGCCTATGGGGACAGGCTGATAGGGGCTTGAGGAGAGAGGCCTGGGCTGGCCCTCAAGTGTAGGTGGACCTCACTGTGCAGCCCTGTGTCCTAGAATGGCCCTGTTGTCTGTTTTCTTCAGCTAACTCAGCTCCACCACTTGGGGTGGGCTCCCTGAGCAAGGGGGTCTGCTCTGCTTGTCATTTTAGGGCACGACCTGGCACTTGGGGGACACTTGGATGACTTCCTGCATAAACCAGGGACTTTTCTGAGACTGACAGCACATGCCACGGAGCAAACTCATGAAAGCGACCCAGAGTGGCTCTAAGAATTTTGAAATTACAAGATGTCACAAAAGCCCCACTCCCGATGACACAGGTCCAGCGGCTGAGAGCTCAGACCTGGGGTCCCAGGGCTGAGTTTGGGTCCAGCTCAGCCACCTCCTATAGCACAAGCCCTGTGTCCACGTGTTTGAGGGGAACAAGCTCACTGTGAGGCTTTGGACCTGGTGCACAAACACATTTAGCATGTGCCCGGTACGTCACACCCCATTCAAAGTGCATCTGAAGTCTACTCCGATGTAAATATTCCCAAGCAGATGAGCAATCTACCACATATCTCTGTGGCTTTGGATTCACAATTCAGAAATTATTTCTAAGGAAAAATTTACATCCACGCACATAATGAAACATTTCGACTTGTATTTTTCACCTGGAAAATCTCCCACTAATCCAGGACCTTTTTCCTCTCTAGCATATAGTTTTATCTCAAGTGCAGAGGTGCGTGCTGTGATAAATATCTCCACTGCATTTGCAGGCCACACTGACGCAGAGGCTGCTGTCACGGTCATGCCAGCTCGACCCTCCCGGTGCCTGGACAGAGACGTACCTCAGCGCTGATGAACCCCACCTCCGCAAACTTCCGCAGGAGGTCAGGAGAAGCCTGCCACTGTAAGGCGGCCTCGGACTGGCCCCATTCGTCCTGCAGTGAACTGTTTCTACCTCTCCTCTTCTTTCCTGCGGGAAAGGGCATCTGGTAAAGAGGTCTTTTCTAGCAAACAAATGATGCCCGATTCCTGTCGTTTCCGAGCGCTCAGCCTTTCCCCAGCTCTGTGCAGAGCTCGCCCAGGCGGGAAGGGGGATGGGAGCTTCTCGGAGATGGGCCTTTTGCCCAGGGATGCCCGTGGGATGTCTGAGGTGTCCCCACTGCCAACCCTTGGCCAAAGCTCGCCCCCGGTCCCATCCCTGCAGATGCTCTTGGTTTGCTTGAGTGCTCGCCCAGCTTCAAGCAGCAGCGACCTTCCCTGCTGCCTCTCATGTCCCTGGCCTTCCTGGGGGCGGGCCCTCCCTGGCTCCTGCAGGACTCCCAGGTCCTCCACGTCTGTTCTGTCTGCTGCCTCCCTCCCTCATCCCTTTGGGCCTTGATGTGCCTGAGGCCGGCGCCTCTCCAGAACCGGGTGCTGACCGTGGGGATCCACCTCGCCCACATCCTGAGAAACACGCTCGCCCAGAGAGCTGCTATGCTGAGTCTGAGGCCTCTGCCCTCTGCGTGCAGGTATCCAGCACGGCAGCCTCTGCTCAGCTGTGGCTGCCCCTGCCCAAGCCCTTCAAGAGCCATCGAGTGACGAGAGGCCCCATGTGATGATGGTGCTCCGTGCTCCTGGCATGGCCAGCACGCAGCCAGGCTTGGCAGCAGCCCAGTAATTAGTGGCAAAAACAGTCGTTGTGATGACCATATTGCTGTTGCTACAATTACCACGCACAGTGCCTTGTGGTCACCTGGAAACGCGTCGAGAGAGACCATTTCCTGTGTGAAGGCCCAGATCCACCACTTCGGGACCCATCTGGGGACTCAGGAGGCCTAGCCCGGGGGTGGCCGTGGCCAGGCTGAGCGCACTCGCGGGGGCACGCACCTCTCCTGAGCCTCGCCGACTTCTTCACCCTGATGTTGTCATACAGCAGGCAGAAGCGACTAGCTGTCCGGCAGACGTCCCACACGCCTTGCTTCCGGGCGACTTTGGCTAACTCTGCCCAGATTTGTATCCTGTTCACCAAAGACCCAAACAAGGGGGAAAAGGAGCATCGATGTGGTTGCAGCATCAGCAAACACCCTGAATAACTGCTTTCCAGAAGACAGCCTGACGGGCGGGCTGTCCCCAGGGGTCAGGTGCAGTGGTCAGGAGTGGGGCTGTCCTTGGACGTAGGGCACAGCGGTCGGGGTGCGCTGTCCCCGGGGTCAGGGTAGAATGGCGAGGGTGGGCTGTCCTCAGGGTCAGGGCACAGCTCTCTGCTCTCACCTCACAAATGTCCACGGCACCTCCCACCCCCGTGACCAAGAGAAAGGCCCCACATAGTTCACTCCCAGGTGAGGTGTGGGGCAGGTGTCCCTGGGCTGAGGGCCCTACAGTTGACACCCAAAATCAGCCAGCTCTGGCCACTGCATCCTGGTCACCATGTCCAGAAGCCTGGTGCGATGATCCGCCCTGAGTGAACCAGCCCGGACGGGGTGACTGCACACCTCCCAGGCTGCAGCTTGTTTGTCACAGCCAGGAGGGGAGGTCCCATCCGTCAAGCTCCCCAGCAGGGTCCCTGGAGATGCCGGACCTGTGGCCACCTCCCACCCTGGAGCAGGTGTCTCAGCACCTCCCCTGGTGGCCCCACGCAGGGACCCAGGGCCGTCACTGAGCAGCAGCACAGACCGCTTCTCCACGACAGCCCCGGCCGGTGCTTTGCCCTGTTCGGGTCTCGTCACTCACCTCTCCTGGCCATTTTCGTGACCCAAGCGCTGCAGGTGCCCGGCGGCTTTGTCCACACTGATGGTGTAATGCCGAGCCTTTGCGGAGAGAAAGGCGAAGCGGCCCCGGTTTTTCCCAGTGGAAACTGAGGGCAGAAGTCAAAATGCAGGGGTTGGCGCTGCAGGTCGGGGGTAGGCAACATGGAGGAGCCGGCTGTAATAAACCGCCCTGTGCTGGCCACCCATGGGTAGCAACCCTGGGGCCCTGCATCCACCACTCTGGGAGCTGGACGCTCTGCAGAGTGGCAAAGTGGTGCCATTAGGGTCTTCTGACCATGACGAAGCCGAGCTAATTGCACCTCTGAGTATGGGAAGCCTCCAGGCCCCTCAGTGGCAGCCTGTCAGGCCCCTGACCCCAAGGCCCACTCCGCTTGGCAGTGTCCAGGCGTCCTCAGGCAGAAGTGCCCGGCCCCTCGGCAGCACCCACAGTCTGCCCCAAGGCCCAGTGGCTGAATCACTTGACACTGGAGGTTCTGAATCGCTGCTCCTTTTCCTGGCCCATAAACCATGAACACCCAGGACTCAACTTCACACAGAGGGTCGGTCCGCCCAGTACAGCTGATCTCAGGATGCAGTGGGCACTGGGCCTTGGGTGGAGGGTTATCCCGGCCCCAGGAGACCCCGGGGCAGGAGGCTGTGCCTTCAGAGCTATGTCTCCCCTGGGCTGCAGTCCTGCCTTCTCAGCCGGCACAGAGATTTACCTTCAAGAGCCAACCCAAGGCCCTGCTCCCTGGGGTGGGCACAGGGCATCTCCTGCGGGGTTTAGGTGCTATCTTGCCCCATGACCCCAGGTAGGCAGCAGGACACACTTATTAAGTAAAACGAATCCAGAAAGCAAAGCAGAGGGGTCCAGGTGATGCTGGCAGGTTACAGCTGCTCCTCAAACTTGTCAGGGCAAAAATGAGGCCACAGGAATGAGAACGACCAAGAGAGATGAGGGAGCATGGCAGACAAGGGTAGCCATGCCTCTCAGGGTCACTCCCAAGCCGGGGCACAGCCCCATCCCACTGCACCCTCCCCTCCTCATCTGAGACCCACGACTGTGCCCAGTTGCCTTTTAGACTGCCATCTCCCCAGGCATATCTGTGTGATGCCTGGTGTCAGGCTGAGTGAAAGCCACCAGCAGGCTGGCCCTGAGCTTTAGGAACCCTGCAGTGGCTGCAGGCAGGACCCTGGAGGACCAGGAGCAGGGCTCCTGAGCAGCCCTGCTGCCCGCTGGCCTGAAGGAGGTGGAGAAGCCCTGTCCAACCAGAGACGCCGGCATGGGCCAGAGCTGCTGGGGGCCGCGCGTGTGCTACGTCCCCCTTTAACTGGGCTCACCAGTCACACGCGGGGCAGTGAGGGCTTACGTCCTCTCGCCCAGCGTGCATGCAGAAGCTCCCTGAGCCAACAGGTAACAGTGAGGCGAGTGGGATGCTCTCAAGCCTGACCTTGTCACGCACACACAGAAGGCAGCCCGGCCCCTGCCCCGTCCTTGTGCCTCGGACGGTGCTACGGGCTGAACTGTGAGCCTCCCTGAAGCAGGATATGTGGAAGCTCCAACCCCTGGGGACCTCAGAATGCACCCTTATTTGGAGGCAGGGTCTTTAAAGGGGTGATTGAGGTAAGATGAGGTCATTGGGGGGGCTTTAATTCAAAGTGCCAGTGTCCTTGGCGATGAGGACATAGACGCACACAGAGGGACCGGCCTGTGAGGACACAGGGAGCAGACGGTGTCCACGGGCCCCAGAGAGAAGTCTCAGGAGGATCACGTCCTGTGACACCTTGACCTCAGGCTTCCAGCCTACAAGGCTGCAAGAAACACAGTCCTGCTGTTCACGCTGCAGCACGTGGACTCCACACAGCAGCCCGAGCCCGCAGACGCAGCTGGAGTATGGTCTGACAGACGCACAGCAGCAGAGCCCGGGCCGAGGTGGGGAACGGGCCATCGCTAAGGACACCCGTCACTTTGGATGAGGCTCACCCTGAGGACCTAATTTTGCCTTAGTCACCTCTTAAAGGCCCCACCGCCACGTAAGGGTCATTCTGAGGTCCTGGGGGTTAGCCCTGGGCGGCTCAAGCCTTTAGGTGGAGACCACACTGTCCCCCACATGTGTCTGGGGCTGTCCTTGGAAGAGCCCAAGGCCCAGGTGACACCTGAGCAGGATCAGAACCGTCGAGGCAGACACATTCCGGGCTCGGGGCCCAAGCATGGCCGCTCACCTTTGGTCTCATTCTCGCTGTCCAGCACGATCTGAAACGTGTCGGGGGCCAAGGCCAGGCCCGCATTCACCAGAAGGGCTCGCTTCTTCCTGACGCTGTCTTTTGGGGTCGCTTTTTTGGCCTCAGGAAAGAAGAGCGAGAGGACGATGAGCGAGTTACCATCGGATCCAAAGCAACACTTTCTCTGACTTTCCGGGAACATCTGGCTTCCAGCAAAGGCCTGAGTGACTCCTTGCACCGCACAGGGCAGCAGCGTGTTCCCAGGCCTCCTCGCCGACAGGTGGGTCCCGGGAAGCTTCCTCCTCACTGTGCCCTTCACCTCAGAGCTCGGCCCAGGCCCCACTCCCTCTGCGGGGCCCCGGACTCCCCAGCCACCCATCCGTCCTCCCCAGGGCAGCACCTGCTCGATGGCCATGGTGGCCTTGTCCTCGGCACGCTCAGGGACCTGGTAGAGCATGGTGCACAGGCGTAACCGATTAGAGGCCATCTGGAGCTTGTCCTGGTAGAGGCCCAGGCTGTCGAGGCACGCGGCCTTCCGCAGGTGCTCCATGGCGGGCTCCAGCCGGTCCTCGTCCTCCTCGATGTGTGCCATCTCCATGTGCACTTGGCAGCGGAGCAGGGTCATGAGGCTGGGAGGCAATGCAGGGTCAGAGAGCCTGGGCGGGGCTGCCTGGAGGCCGTGCCGGGCTGGAACGGTCCCAGTGGGGGGGGGGCTTGGCATTCTTCTGGTTGACACCCTTGACTTACCTTGAGGGCTTGCGGACAGGGACAGAGAGATGACCCCTGCCAACCCTGGAAACCTGAGAGAAAGCTGGTGAGAGCCGCGGGGCCCAGCAAATGCAGGGACCACGCCTTCCCTGCCCATCAGCACTGTCACCTCCTGGAAGGCTCCTGGTGGGACTGTGGGAGTGAGTCTCACATAGCTCCATCACTCACAGCCAAAGCCTGAAGTCCAAGGCCTTTAAGGATGCGGTCCTCGCTGCTCTGCTTCTAGTTTCCACTCTGGTCTCCTCTGCTAAGGATCTTCCTGGGCACATGTGTCCCCTGCTCACAATCACCCGCCTGGCCTCTGCTGCTGCTTCTGCCTCTGCTGGACCATGGGGTCTGGGCAGGGGCTGGAGAAGCTCCCATGTGCAAGAGCAGAAATAAGGAACCACACCCAAAAAATTGCCACTGACAGCACATCCCAAACACTGCCTTGAGCCACCAGCATGAACAGATCCAGCAAATTCTGCTGAAGGCAGACTCTAGAGGACTCATGCACTGACTGGCCTTTGGCCAAGACAGAGAATAAAAATCACACTAATAGACATGTAACCTTAGGGAAAGCGAGCAACGTGGTGAGGCTCTGTGGAGGAGCAGAGAGATCGTGGCATCAGGGGACCGGAGCTCGGCAGCCCCTGTGGGCCGGGAGCTGTGGGGCACCACGGGACCCACTGAGGGGCAGGGGCAGGGGCAGGAGGGTCCTGGTTAGAGCCAAGGTGAGGTCTGAGGTCTGGACTGCAGCATGAACGAGATGTTTTCTGACAGCCTGCGACCAAGCAGAAAGCAGTCGTGAAAGTGGGGTGGGAGCGCACTCTGAGATGAGTGTGGCATCTGGAGCTCTGCCTGCTCTGGGCACTGTGAGCAAATCCCACAGTGTGAGAGCCATCAGAGCTGGCCTGCCCAGACAGGCGGGCCAAGGCAACCAGAAGCGTCGCCACAGGGGAATGCACCGGGAAGTGAGCCTATGTCAGGGATAGACACAGAACACCTCCTGAAGCCTCAATGACAAAAATAAGTGCATCTCACACACGAAGACCCACACCCTCCAAAATATAAGGGACGGGCCAGCTGAGTGGACGTTCGGGTCAGTAACTGGCAGGGTTCTTTTTACTTCCAACTCTGATACGGTAACTCGACAACCCTGATAGCCATAAAACTGGACCAAAGACCCAAGGCAGCTGTTTCCTGGCCCCGCACACTTGGCAACACAAGGCGGCGCCTCTGCAAGACGGAGACCCGGGCCTGAGCCCGCCACTGCCTGGCTCTGGGCCTGGGCACGACTTTCTGAAGGTGGAAGAGCAGGCAGAGTGCAGACTGCCACTGAGCCCGGAGGCAGGGATCAGAGGGTGGCCGCCCAAAAGGCTGGGATCGGGAGAGGAAGGGGCTTTGCCGTGAGGCCCAAACTGTCTGTGTATGAGTGCTCCGTGAATACTTCCCACAGGCTGAGTGGCATGTGCATAAGGCAAGATGACATGCAGCTGAGTGCAGCTGCCCCAGGTTGAGAAGTGATAAGAAGATATGAGATGTGCTGGGGCCATAGACGTTGGGGGAGTCTGGAGGTCTAGCCTGGCAGAGACCTTGTGACTAACTCCCTGACATTCTGGATATGTAGCTGAGACAAGACAGTACCTCACTGCAGGACTGAGGGCCATTCCCTGGAGTAGACCTGCCCAAATAAGATCTAAAATTCAGTCTGATGACATCTGCAGGCAAGATAACAGGCTTGGGAAACACCTGGAACTTCCAAAGATGTGCGCTAACAGAACATAAAACCAATCCTACCTAATTTTAAAGCAATCAGTCAATAATTGAACTACCTACTAGAACAAAAATCAACACTCTTCTAAAAAACATAATTAAATGACAAGACACTACAGTGTATCATCCACAATGTCCATTACATAATATAAAATTACTGAACATGCAAGGAAATGCAAAAATGTAACCTACAGTAAAGATACAAGATAAGCCAGATGCTGGGTTTGGCAGATGAATCCTTTAAAGCAGATATTATAATATAAATATCATAAATATGTTAGAAGTTATGTTTTCCTTAAAAATAGTATTAATGAATGAACAGATAGGAAATCTCAGTAGAGGAAAAAAAAAACAAAAAAAGATGGAAATGCTAAAACTAAAAACTGTAATAACCAAAATTTTAAAAAAGCAAATTTCTGGTTGAATGTAACAGATTAGAGAGGAGAGAAAAAAGTGTCAATGAACCTGAAGACAAGTAATTGGAAATTATCCGATTAGACGAATAGAGAGCAAAATATTTTTTGAAAAATGAGCAGAGCCTGGGGACCTGTGGGGCAATACTCTAGCATGTGTGTAGCTGGAGTCCCAAAAGGAAAAGAGAAATATATCTGAAGAAATAATAGTTAATAATTTATCAAATCTGATGAAAATGCCATTATACATATTTGTCCAAAAGAACCCCGAGCGGAATTTTTGTCAAGGCGCCTAGGAATATAATAATCAGAATGCTGAAAACAAAAATTAGAAATACAAACTTGAAAATGGAAAGAAGGAAAAAAAAAGATACATTCCATATAGGAAGACCATGCTTAAAATAACTTGATTTTTTTTCCATCAGAAACTATGGAGGCCAGAAGAAAATAAAATAATATCTTCAAAGTATTTAAAGAAGAAAAAAATATGTCAACCCAATATCCAATAACTAGTGGCAATATTCTTCAAAAGTGAGGTTGAAGGCCAAGCTCAGTGGCTCAGCCTTTGGGAGACCGAGGCAAGTGGACTGCCTGAGCCCGCGGGTTCGAGACCAGCCCGGGCAACTTGGTGAGACCTCGTCTCTACAATAAAATAAAAAATAGTCAGGCATGGTAGTTCACACCTGCAGTTCCAGCTACTTGGAAGGCTGAGGTGGAAGGATCACAGGAGCCCAGCAGGTTGCTGGGTGGCCGTGAGTGTGCCACTGCATTCCAGCCTGGTAGGCAGAGTGAGACTCAACTCAAATACATAAAAAAAAGAGGTTGAAGAAGAGTCATTTTCACAGCAGCAATAGCTGGGAGAATTCACCACCAGCAGTCAGCATGAAAATGAAAGGAGGTTCTTTAGGTTGAAGAGAAATAATTCCAGATGGGAAATTTCACCTGTGGAAAAGAAAGAAGACCTACTAGACTTGTCAAAGACACGGGTAAACAGAAGAGACCGTGTTCCTCTTGAAGTAAAACATATGACGACAACAGCACAAAGAAAGAGTGTGGAGCAGAGTAACAATGCCCTCACGTTTTTACTCCGCGAAGTGGGAAGTGGGAAGAATGTCAGATGCAAGAATGGCCTTGCACAGACCGTGAGAAGTGAAGGATGGGTGTTACTGGCCCTAGAGAAACTCCTCCTTCCCCTAGAAGGTATAGTTGAGAAGCCAAGACGCCGACAGAGGAAATAAAATGGAATTGTTGGAAAATTCAACTAGCACCAAAGAAGGCAGGGAAGGAGCACTGGCAGACAAAAGAAAGATGGTGGACACATAGGATGGCAGACTTGGCTTCACACGATGCTGATGCAAAGGGACTGAGCCTTCCAATCAAAAGCAGAGATCACTATATTTAGGCAAGACAGCAAGATTCACCTATACGCTGTCTAAAAGATATTTACTTAAAAAAATTTGTTTGCACTTTAAAGATACAAGTGCAAAAGAAGACAAGAAGACAGAAAAAGTTACACCACACTGCAGTAAGCATAAGGAGGCTGGTCTGGCTGCGCTAATATCAGATGACGTAGACTTCGAGACCAGGAGCATTATACTAGAGATAAAGGAGGACATTCAATTCTGCAAGGCCAATTAAACAAGAAGATGCAACAAGGCCAATGAAACAAGAAGATGCAACAACCTCAAATAAGTGTGACATAATGTTTCGAAATATAGACAGCCAATCTGGCAGAAATAAAAGGAAGGAGAAACAAATTCATAATTATAGCTGGAATTTTTAACATCACTCTCTCAGTAATTGGTAGAACAGCCAGACTAAAAAATCAAGATACAGAAGATCTGGATAAATGATTAGCGGATGTGAGGGATGCTGGAATGACTACAGAGATTCTCCTAAAAAATGAAGGACTTATTCCCCTGGCTGATGACAAGAATCCCTTAGCTTTCCGACTAAGTCTCATGGAGCATCTCAGTACTAAAAATCTTCCTACAGAAACAAAACAAAACAGCTTCCCAGGCCCAGATGGTTTCATTGTTGAATTCTATCAAGCATTTCAGAAAAAACGATGGCAAGTATTACAAAAACTATGCCAAAAAGCAAAATATTTTAGAAAAACGCTTAATTCATTTTTTAAAATTAATTAATTAATTTATTTACTTTTTTTTTTTTTTTTTAGTTGGAGTCTCACTCTGTCGTCCAGACTGGAGTGTAGTGGCCACTCTCGGCCACCGCAGCCTCGACTGCTGGGCTCCGGCGATCCTTCCGCCTCAGTTTTCGAAGTAGCTGGAACTACAGGTGCACACTACCAAGCCTGGCTGATTTTTGATTTATTGTAGAGATGGGGTCTCGCCAAGTTGCCTCAAGCGGGTCTCGAACCCGCAGGTTCAGGCAATCCACTCACCTCAGCCTCCCAAAGCACTGGGATTATAGGCTGAGCCACCGAGTCTGGCTTAATTTAATAAAGTCAATGTAACCTGACCAAGGCATTATAAAAGAAGCAAATGCAGGCCAATATCCTCATGATACCTTTCTAACAAAATACTAGGAAATAAAACCTGGCAATGCATAAAAAGGACAATAAATATGCAAGAAATGAAGGGTTGGGCCAACATTCAAAAATCAGTGTAATTCACCATATTAAATAACAAAGGAGACAAGTCACATGATCATATTAATAGATGTTGCCATAT